TATGGACGCCGCCCGACGTCGTGACGGCGGCGTTGATGTCGCTAGGGTTGCGTACGCGTAGATGGGGTGTCGGTGTGGGGCGTTTTTTCCTCGATTGCACTACCGAACCGCACGGGGCGCGACGTATGACGCGGGCGTACGGGGCGCGACGTACACGGGCGGCCGGCCCTACGATGGACAGCGGGTACACTAATACATAATTTAGTATGGACAATACTACCCCTTCTACGCTTATTGTGGGGGGGTGGGGTGGGGGGGGGTTGTACGGAAGTCCTTCTCTTCATAAATCTGTAGTGACTAGCTAGCAGCTCAAATTGCCATTCCATTGCTTTGTTGATACACCACGCCTCACCTTGCAATAATGAGTAATGCTCTATATCCACGGGCATGTCACGGGTACGTGAGTAGATTATCGCATTCTGAGTTCATGACACTGAAGTGGCATTGCCAGTGCCAGGGCATCAACCAGACACGCTCTAATTCTCTCCGTTTGGTTTCGGATACATACAAACCAAGTGACTAACTTGCTTTGCTTTGGCACCTCCCATCCTTCAAATATCGTGGCTACATCTTTCCCGCCGATGAGCGTCTGTTGTTTGCCTATTACCTGCCTGAAATGTATGATTTGTGATTGATGATGATGCAGGTGCTCACTAAGATCGTTGAGGACCTGTTCCAAGGCCACCCCATCAGCGAAAGGAAGCTCAAGGAGCTGCTAGGGCACACCCCATCGCAGGTTTCGCCGGCGCGTTCCTGGGCATCCTGGTGGCCTGGTTCTGCTGCCAGGGCTGTATCGGTGCCATCTGATGCTGCCGTTGTAGCATGCCTGACTGCTTCAGAAATGGAGTCATTTTGTACCATCATTGGGGGGAAACATTGGTATTTTCTTTTCTTGGCGTAATGTTGGTTGTACATAATTGCATGGATGGTATCACAAACTTCTCAATTCATAGTTGAGACTTTGGTCTGATTTGAGATTTCTATGGTTTTGGTAGTCCTGCCTGCTTCATGGCCGGTGTCCTCTGGATGACTAAACAACAGGAATCAAAGCTAGTACTTCCTCCGTTCGGAATTACTTGTCACAAAAATGGATGTATCTACAACTAAAATACATCTAGATACATTCATTTCTTGGACGAGTAATTCCGAACGGAGGGAGTAGTACATAGAGAAGTGAGTTTTGGCGCGCTCGTACACCATCCTTTTGAGGCGTTTTCCCCCGGAAAATGGGGATATTTGCCACATCGAATCTCCAATCTGACCTTTGCCTTTTGTATCAGAAATTCTTTCTACTTGGATCCCGTTTTGTTAACTTACTACTGCATATAGGCACTTTTCCTAGCCGATCGTTGCATGCTGGCCACTGCTAGCCAGGGAACTTAAAGAGGCAGAGGAGACTCAACCACCCAAAGCCTCTCGGGGTTGATGTTCTTGTGGTTTGTCGTCGAAATTCTTCAGTGATGTTGTGCATCGCACCAAAAAAAGGCCAAAATTATGTGGCAGCATTTCATAAGTTTGATGGGCAATGGTGCAACTAGCTAGAACCTTGGTTTTAAATGGGACTTCGTGCAGCTGTCGCGAGCTAATCTCATGCACATGCACCTGGACGAGCCTTTCATGTTGGATGAGTAGAAATTTGCAGTTTCTGAACTGCACGTTGAGAAAGAAAAACAAATGGTTTCGTTGGTGCTTCTATAAACATTGACAGGATTTAATCAAAGATGAGCCGTTCACGGCGAAGATTCAGTGGCATAACCCAAGGGGAATCCCTCACACTTGTTGAATACGGCAAACAGTGTTTTTACCCAAGAAAGTGAAACCATTTCGTACTTCAAAGCCCTTTGATTGCATGACAACGGCATGGAAGGACATTTCTAATGTCACATGGGCTAATTTGAGCAGGCTTGGGAATTAGGGTAAATCCGAGTTGTAGGTTCGAGTTAAGGGCTATAATGTAATTGTCCCTATTTTATATTATTGTATTTCTTCAATTCATTGTTCATATTTTCACTTCTTTCTGTGGTGCTCATTTGAGTAGGGAGCGTATTCATCGAAAGTATTGCTATGATACCGAGCTCATGTCAGCTCGGGTGAACAATAAAATCAATTTTTTTTAAAACTGCCGATTGTGTGTGTGCGTGTGTGTGAAACTTTGACAAATGTTCTCATAGCTTGTAAAATTTCATCACCAGATCATATTCGTGTTAAAAGTTAAAAAGAAACAAAATCAGTGCTCCAAAATGCGTTTGAAAATAGAATTTTGGAGCATCAAATTGTTTTTGCCACATTTTACACGAATGTGATCTGGTGATAAAATTTTGCAAGCGGACAGAACATTTATCAAAGATTCACACAAAAAATAACAATTTTTTGAATTTATTTTAAATTTTTATTTTACTGTTCACCCGAGCACACATGAGCTCGGGATCATAACAGTCGCGTCCTCTACACTATACACCAGTGTCCCCTTCCTTTTTAAAAACATCCTTCGTAGACATGCATTTTCACATAGTCCACACCTGCCAAACAGTTTGTTCGACGCACTTATAAATTTGTTATGTCACAAATATCAATGTTACTTTTAGAAAGTTCCAAAAATCCACCAAAAGTGTCAACAATTCCATCACAACAAGTGTGGCACCAAACAGAATAGTTTTGTTGTGAGTATTAACCCCAACAATCGAACCAAACGGACGCCCATCATCTATTTGTATGTATGTGGTGTCAAATCATATAACATCACACTGCTAAAAATCATATAACATCACTAAATATTGCATAGTCCAACACATTTCTGGAGACAGCCAAAAAATCTTAGTTACCAAGTCATTCTCATCTACCTGAATTGAATAGAAAAATTGACATCTTCTGGTATTTTTTTCATCTATTCCAATACTATCCCTGTGACACCTTCCATCGCATTTATTTTTCTATTTTAGTACATATGTCTTTCATATGTTCACGTCTAAATCCAATGTTTTCAATTCTACATGCTTCTTTTGGCCTCCTAATTGATTATTGTTTTATTTGAAATGCCTACAGATTTGCGACCTCTGTGTTTCCTATTTATGTTTATATTGTTTTTATTTGGGATCTCGAGTGTTGGACCATGGTTCTATGGAAAGAATTTGGTTACATGACACCTAAAATTCATAAACAACATTAAATTTGTTTCTAAGGCTGATCTTCATATGAAAATCACATCGACATCGTGTTTTAGGCCTATAGTAATTCAATGTCTCCTCTCTTTCATCTTTCGATGATAGTGTATAAGTTGTAATGATTGTCTTAGATCATCAGGAAGCGATTAGAATGAAATCAAACTACAAGTAACCTCCGTTAACGAGAAGATGTTAATGTTCGCTGTTGCATTGTCGAAGAGTTCTTCACTTTATGGTCATTACTTCTTTTGATATGTTATAAAATAAATAAGCTTCCTCTTTTGATAAAAGTTTCATGCCAAAATTTGTTATCCTTTCATCGATGCCATTTGATTCAATTTCTTGCACATCATATATCAAATAGGATTCAATCTAGTTAATACATAGATGTGTCTATCACATCTGCATTGCGGGTTGGGAAGTTTTTAGCAAGGCCGGTTCAAAAAAATGAAATAGAAGAATTAGTATGTCACAAGTTTTCAGAGGAATTGCAATCATTTTGACTTTGAATGTTTATACAGTTTTGGCTGCTTGGCATTTTTCTATGGCTGTGGAGGGAATGAGGCAGAAAAATCAGCCAATGGCAAAATTACTTTTGCCAATATTCATTTAATGAAGTGCACATGATAATTATATCTTGTGCGATTTACTTTAAGTTATGATTAACTTTAGTGATAGGATGACCTATATATGTTAAATTTGCTGGTTTTTGTTGCGTATGATTCTTTCAAACAATGTTGCAAACACTCTATCTTAAAAGGTAACCATCGAAAGAGTTCTTAAATGCAACAATGATTAAGATTTTTCTCAAATGTGGCTTTTGACTTGGTAGCAGCTGCACAATATGAGGTTTTCCTTTTAATCTTGTTTTCTTGTCCGTTATATGCATTTTATGAGTTCAGAAGTGTGTCCTGCAATCATATTTGTTTCGCATTGCAGGATGTGAAGTCTTCCACAATTGGTTCAAAATGAAGAATTAAGAATTTGGATGTAATTCATTGTGAATGATGGAACTGATTTCCTAGTTTTTGTGCATGAGATTCATCATCAGCAGCTTGGTTCCCCAGATCAATCCTGAAAGAAGCCACCGAGGCATGGGAGATTCCTTCACTGATGAATTGGAGAGATTTGTCTATGCTCTGCTTTGGTTAAGCCACTATTGATTGCCCTATCTCCCATGTACTTTTGCATTAGTGGTGGGTCTAGATTTTGGCACATGTTGTGCATTTTTGGATATGATGAAATATTTCCTCCATTTTTGATTTTTTGCTTTAGTGTTTTTAGAATTTATGGAAGGGAATCGGCATACACCTATATTCTTATTTTACACAAAAGCACGAGAGGGGTGCAGGGGCACCACCATGCGATGGATGCCACGTGCACTGGTGGCACCAATGATCGCAAGCCTAGACGTAGGCAATCCATGTCCACTCCATATGCCTTGTGTGTGAGTACCAAGGGTGTGAGACCAATCAGAGGGGACGGGGTGTACAAAATCCGAACCAAAAATTTAGCTAACCACCGCACGTGTTTCTCCCATCATTGATCATAAAATCCTCCATATAATCTCAGTTGATGCGCCAGCGGTGCATGATTAATGTCATGATCCTCCACACCCACGTGCCGTCACACAGGGTTGTTTGTTCGTATCATATCGCCAGATATGAGTTGATTCGAATCGGATTGAAGAAATCAAAGGGGGACCAAACCACCTAAGACTCAAGATGTACATACCCTTTATAAGCACCTCACCCGTTGATTTCCACGCATCGGAACGTAACTACACAGACACCACGCAAAAGTGCACACATACAGTGAGGCAGGTACACAACGGAAGCCATGTCGCCGCCCGGCAGCGGCCATGAGAAGGTGGACTCGAAGGCGGCGGTGAAGCCCCAAATGTTGACAATCAAGGTGGTGGGCCAGGAGAAGGTGGTCCACCACACCATGAGGATGACCGACAAGCTCAAGGTCCTCATGGACGTGTGGTACCACAAGGTGCCCAACGTGACATATGGCACCGGCGTCTTCCTCTACGACGGCTTGCGGGTGCGCAGAAATATGACCCCGGTGGGCCTTGAGATGGAGGACGGGGACATGCTTGATTTCTTTGAACATATGGATGGTGGAGCTGGACCATTCATTGTTGGATCTATGTAGTATGTCAATCGATGTTTGCGCACTAGGCGGAGTTGTTGTAACTTGAAGCATATGTCTCTTGCAGAATTTGTATTGCTAGATCTTATTTCAAGGAAATTTCTGACGTGAGCGGCTCAAAATATTAGATTTTTTGAACTAGTTTCGCTCATGTATTATCATTATTATCTGGTTTTTTGGGAGTGCTCATTAGTATCTATTTTGTCATATGTTTGAACAGTGGTTTCTTTTATGGTGAGTTATTTGAATTAAAACAAATGTTGTGTGTAATTTTGCTTTCGTTTATTTTGTTTTATTCTTAGTGCTATGTTGTTTGCCTTTCGTTCTTGTTCCGCTAGTGTTTTATACGTTTACTTACAAAAGTAGTATCAACTAATTTTTTTTTATTCATATTGTATATGCGTAGAGAAGTACTATATTGATGTTTTTCTAAGATTTTCAGTGTTTACCAAACAGCTTTTGTATTTGTTCCACCTGCACCTTTTTATTCGTTCTACGACTGTTTCATTCAACTAAGAAGGGGCTCTTGGATTCAAATTATTTTTATACATGTTTTGCACGATTTTAATCGTGCAAAGATTTTTCAATGTGAGCTATTTTGATCGTAGGGTTTGCTCCTTTTGTATAACTAGTAAATGAGTACGTGCAATGCACGTTGATATTTTGACATTTGATAGAATATTAATTGCATGTTGATATTTTTTGATAGAATATTAGTTACATGTTTATATTTGGTAGAATATTAATTGCATGTTAATTATGTGATTAGCGGAAAATATTGATATTCCGTATGCTATTAATTGCACGCTAAAGATTTCGAGCACTCACCATTGGAGCAATCTAGATCGTTTGGTTAACATGGTTAGATGACCAAGATTATTTGGATCTTCAGCTTTGGTCTTTTATATTTATAGAGGTATAAATAATATAAAGACATAGATATCTCATATAATTTCCCCTTTGGCACTAACTTCTTTTTTAGATGGGGGGGAGGGAGATCAGTCGTTTTACCTAGCAATCAAACAATCTTCGGTGCAAATTTCTTGGGTCAGCCATCCTAGCATTCCCGGTTAAGCTTGTCTGATGTCTACTATAGCCCAGCCGACCTTTACTAGCAAATCTAATATGGATCGGAACAGATAAGTTAGCATCTAAATTCCGTGTAAATCTCTGTCAAAATCCATGTACGCTATCTGATTATAAATGGAGGAGTTTTAACATGGATCCTCTTACCTTTTCTTCTCAGTTCATAGTTGGGACTTGGGTCTGATTTGAGATTTGCCGGGCCTCTAGATGCACTTTGCCTAGTGGATCGCTGCATGCAGGCCCCTGCTGGCCAGGGAAATTCATGGGTTTGCTACTATACATTTATTTGTTGGATACAGACCCGATTATTTCCCAGAAATAAGGGATTTCCCTTGGCGCATTGATCGGAGTTGAGGTTTGGAAACGGTTGTTAGGAAGCAAATCAAAGCTAACTTTTATAAATCCAGGCTACCTCGTGGCATCCGTTCCACGCAACAGAACTCCAAGCCATGTCGCCGCCAAGCGGGAGAGACTCCAAGGCGGCGGTGAAGCCCCTGCTGGTGACGATCAAGGTGGTGAGCCAGGAGAAGGTGCTCCGGCACACCATGAGCAGGACGGACAAGCTCCAGGTCCTCCTGGACGCGTGGTACCACAAGGTGCCCGACGTGACGTACGGCACCGGCGTCTTCCTGTTCGAGGGCGTACGGTTGCGCGGCAACAAAACCCCGGCGGACCTCGAGATGGAGGACGGGGACATGATCGATTTCTTCGAACACATGGACGGCGGCCGGCAGTTCGTTGCTGGACCGATGTCCGCGCACTAGGCAGAATTGATAAGAGGAAAATTTCTAGATCTTCTTAGGAGGAAAATTTCTGATTTGTTGAGCGGCTTACATAATGTACTTCAAACCTTATTCGCCCGGTTATTGTTATGGTTCCTATCTTCATTTTGCGCTAAGATTCGTGTAAGTATTTTTTTTTCTAGTTCGATTGAGTCACTTTGATGTGCTAGACAGACCCTTGATTCTGTTATGGTGACTTGGAGGGTCGGCCGTGAAGTAGTTTCCTTTATGCCATAACCTGACCCGGAGAAAAACTGCCCCCTATGTCGTCCCCCGTGGACGACACACGGCACCGCCGTCCCCAACCTCATCTCCGCCCCCTCTCTCCTCCACCGCCAGGGCAAAGCCCCTTATAGTGGTCAGCAACTAGTGTTCCTCTCCTTCGCTCTTGGCTATCTGGTGCGGGACGACTTGGATGGGCGGCGGCACTGACCTCGCACATGGCTTGGCAGCGTGAGTTCACGACGCGGTGTGGACGACTGTTGGTGGCGTGGTAGCGGCGCGAGATCTTGGCGTGGATCGGTCACATGGAGACACTCGGTGTCATTTGTTCCCTGGCATATACTCCCTCCGTCCGAAAAAATTTGTCCTTTAAATGAATGTACCTAGCACCAAGTTAGTGCTAGATATATCCATTTAAGGAACAAGCTTGGGACAAGCTTTTCCAGACGGAGGGAGTATTTTTTTCGTTCGTTCGGTGAATGTTGGGTTTTTTTCAATGAAGAAAACTCATGTGCTTTTTCTGTGTAGTTTTTTTCTCCTTTACATTTTTTAATTTTTTTTCACCCTTTTGTATTTTTTCTAATATATGATGAACATATTTTCTAATATATGGTGAATATTTTTCAAATACAGAAGTAACATTTGTTCGTATATGATGACATAATTTTATATTCAGCGATCTGTTTCTAATACACACTTTATTTATTCGTTTATATGTATTCTCAAAATGATTTTTATTTAGATCAGTTTAAAAGGTCCCAGTTGATTATTTTAGAAAAAATAAACTGGAAATCGAAGAGAAAAAAATGCAACGCAAACCTGTGTAACTGAGCGCCAGAGTGAGCTGGGCCATTAGCGGCTCGGTTCAAGGGTCGCCACCCTTATTCGCCGCCCGCCACTGATATGCATCGCCTGTTGCGATAAGTATCACGAGTGCCATTATGCCTCCCTTATTGTAATTAGACTTGGCAACGGATAGAGACTTACATGTATTTTTGTATGAGCAGCGAATAAGCGCAACCCTTCATGATTTTTGAAGTTTGGACAGAGTTATGAACTCTTGGCTACCTATTCTCTAGATTATTGGAGGATCAAGATGGTGGCCGTCAGGGTTCCCATCACCGTGTGTGCCACACTTGAGCTCCTCAAGAACGCCCCCGAGCTGGTAAGCCTCACATATCTTCCGTCCTTTCTTTAGCCATTGCAAATCTGCATTCAATTTGCAGCATCAGAAGAACACTAACCCGTCCAGCCGTGTCGAGTTGGGATTAGAGGAGAGAGCGCGAGACAATAGGTACGTCTCATTTCAAGCAGCCGCAAAAAGGGCCGGTCCATCATGGATCATAGGCCTTTAGTGCTCCTTTTTTATCCATTTGTTTACATTTTAAGTTTCATTTTTTGCTTTATTTTTCTTATATTTTGAAATATTCTAATTACATCTATTATAAAAATCATTGTAAATTTAAGTTTAAAAAATATAAATCACATATGTTAACAACCTTAGTAATCTTTATAGAAAAATGTTCATGACGTATACAAAAAATATGCAATGTTTATAAAAGTAGACGTCAAAAAATATGTTTGAAAGAATGTTATCATTTAAATGAAAAATGTTAAAAATGTATATAAAAAATATTCCTGATGTATACAAAAAAACTTACAATATGTATGGGAAATGGCAGACATAAACAAATATTAGTTTAAAAATAATGTTAAACATGTATATAAAAAATTCCAGGTGTATACGTGAAACGTGGAATGTGTATGAAAAGAAGTTGACATCAAAATATATATCTAGATAAAATGTTAATCATGTATTGGAAAAATGTTCGACATCGACACAGAAAATGTTTATACAATGTAAAGAAAGGACTGCATAGGTAAAAACATGTTTATTGACATTAAAAACTGTATGTGAATTTTAAATAAATGTTCAAGTGTTCACAAAAAATGTCTGTGAAATTATAAAAATAATTATGCAAAGTGAAAAAATATTTGTGTCAACAAATGTTCAATGTGTATTTTCAAAAATTTGACCATGTATAAAAAAAGTCATAAAATCATATATGTAAAGAAAAATGTACATTGTGTATTAAAAAATGTTCAACATGTATTAAATAATAAATTATGTTTATACCAGGAATGTATATTGTGTGCTGAAGTAAGTAGAGATGTGTTAAAAAAAATCCAGCTCTAGTCAACAAGAGAAAGAGAAAGTCACTGAAAATTTACAAATAAACAAAGTAAAAGAAAGAAAGAAAACCGAGAAAGAAACAAGGAGAACCGAAGAAATATATAAAACCAAAAAAAAGCAATGCACTTGAGTGGAAACCAGCAGAGAAAGAAAGAAAAACAAAAAAACCAACGAAAACAGGAAGAAAAACAAAGAAAACCTGTTGCAAAAAATATAAACAGTGAAAACCAAGAAAGAAACGAAGAAATCCAATAAGGAAACAAAGAAAAATGAAGTTAGAAAGAAAGAAAAAAATGGTGAAGAAAACAAAACAAAAGGGAGAAAAAATACCAATAAAACGGGACTGGTCCAACCAATAAACAAACATAAGAAAAATACAGCTAACGAAACTTACACTGAGGGAGCAAGCAAAAAAAAATAACAAACTAGGTAGCCACGGTAGGAGAAAACAACAACAAACTGGGCATGGCGGGTGCTTTCTTCTTTTTTCTTTTCATTTTGCTTTCTTATTTTTTAAATTCATCAATATTTTTGTAAATTTATGGAAAATTTTAAAATTTACACGCACTTTTAAAATTTCACAAACCTTTTTGAAATTCATGAATATTTATTGATTTTGTAAAAAAAATTAAATTCGCGAACATTGTTTGAGATTTTCTGAATTAAAAAATATTTTTTTCAATTCTTTTTTTTATTTCATGAATTTTCTTGAATTTGCG